AGCGTGGACAGACACGCAGGGGCACCATTTATGGTCTTGGCAATCTCTAGTACACTAACAAGCGTCCTTCTGAGTCTGTCCCTGCTGCACTCAAGCGAGACATAAACGTGGAGATGAGGGTTTCTGGCCTGGAGACTGATTTTAATGCTTTGAAGACTGACTTCAAAGAAGGCACAGCTAGAACTCAAGCAACTCTCGACATGATTCTGCAACTTCTTCAGCCTCAAGCTTCTGCTGCACAAGCAAGTCAGTCTCAGCATCACTCTCCCTCTCATTCTTCAGCTCCACCTCAAGGTCAAGCTCAACCTGAAGGTCACGGTAAAGCTCCAACTCCACCTCACGATCAGCCTCAAGCTCCAGGTGATACACAAGCTCAACAGCTCATCACCACTAACGATTCTAATTTAGATAGGTGGTGTAATGAACTTGGATTGTAGGTTTAGATGTGGCTGTTTATGTAATATGGTTTCATGTTTTGAACCTTTTGAATGTTTTGTGGATCTTTTGAACTCTTAAGGAGCTAATGTAATATATTCCCTTTTTGTTTCAGCTTATCTTTTTTAAATTGTTCAGAATTAAAATCTCAACCCAAGGAAAATGAGACCAAATTAGGAAAAATGAAATGATTTTTTTTTCCATTTTGTGGTAATTTGCCACGAAAAGAACGAAGCAACATAGTAGCAAATTTGCCGTCTCAAAACGTAGCAATATACCACGATCCATAACGTAGCAAAACGTAGCAAGTTGCTACGTTTCATTTCGTAGTAAAACGTAGCAAGTTGCTACGTTTATTTTCGTAGCAATTTCGTATCCATTTGCTACGATGCGAAAATGGCTACGATCGTATAGCTACGAAAACATAAACGTTGCTTTTCGTAGCAATATCTCCATATAGCTACGAAAATTCCTCTATAGCCACAATTTTGTGTCGTTGCTATTTTGTTTTTTACTAGTGTACCTACGTTACCCACATAGACAAGAAGAGGAGACGCCGTTGTTAACAGAGAATAACATCGTGATTGTAAAAATAGGGTATGTGTCTAAACCTATATGTTTGAGTATGATGTATTCATATGCAAGTATATATGAGCATAAAGAAAAGAACACATATAAATTCGTTAACGAGGTTCGTTTCCTACATCCTCGGGACCATGTCCAGAATTCATTCATTAGAATAGAACACAAACAACATTGCTTTATGGTATCCAACACACATCCGTGCATATCACTCTAATCTAGAATTACAATGATGATAACAACTACTACTCATTGTCTTCTCTTGACAAGCATAGTTCTCTATAACTAAACTATTAACAGATCTCTCAATTGTCTGGTAGGACGACGTCACACACATCCATGTGCATCTTCAATAAACCCTAGACACGTGACTTCTTCCTATCATGCGTTGTTCTCTTTATACTCCAACGAGCAAAACCCTAAATTCATTAAGCCCACTAATCCTTTCTCATTAGTTAGGTTTTCCTTAGCAATAAAGTTCTTGAAGCCCACGTGATTCTTTTCCTTTAATACATATTTCATCGGCCAAACATATGGGAATATTCTACTTCATCGAATCCTTTTTATTCTCTGAAGCGTGTGTCACACACCATTCTCTGTTTGTAACACACCATTCTCTGTATGTAACACAAGTACGCGAACCAAAGCTCCAACACTACATCAATCTATCAAGTTCCAAATTATTGAGCTTACAGTGATCTCCCTCGGCTTCTTTTTCTTCGTTACTGTAGATCCTAAAATCCACATTGTATTTTGTAGTGATCAAGAGTTTAATCTGGGGAAGATAAATGATATGGGCAACGATGCTCTTAAAACACAAGGATACAATCGGAATTCGGTAGACAAAAATGGACTTTATTGAATATGAAATTTGGTACAAAGTGATAAACAAGATAGAGAACAACAATGAAAGATGAAAACTATATGCAAACTAGAGTTCTATGGTGTGAGATTGATGTAAATAGTAGTTTACTCTAGAGTTTTTCCGTGTCTTCTGGTGCTTCGTTCTAGCTCCTTTTTATAGTCTTTTTCTCTCCCAACCGTCTCCGCGATCTTCGTGATACTATTTTGACTTTGTCCTGTTCGATCAGTGTCGAGCTCGTGATGAAATCTCCTGGGCTTGGGCCTACTTAATTAGACACACCCGGTGGAAATTTTCAATTTTTGATTCACAATCGATGCTATTGACATTAAGATATATGAATATTTTTTATCACTTGTGTTACTATATGGTATCATATTTACTCGATTGCTAATATAATGTGTTTTCTTGTAGGTGTCTTGATGAACCTGTAAAATTCAGTCTTTCTGTGGAGTTGTTTCATATCAACCTAAATGAAACTCACTGGCTATGAAAAATAGGAAGTAAGTTCTCATTACAATGGAGAGACAAATTATAGGAAACGAACTGCTTCTGGTAGATAGGAGTTCATACCGGAAGTTGATTGTTTAGGATTATATTTTTGCATGTTAATACGAATTTGTCTAGCAACCAATGATTGACTAATTAAAACAAATTAATTAAGTAATCAGAAATTAGAAAAACAAATAAAGGCTTTCCATTAATATAAAAACACCAAACATAAGTTTAACATCAAAACACAAATCTTTGACTAAGTAAAAAACCTTTAACAAAAATGAAGTGATAACATAGTACGAAGTAAAACTAAAGCCTTTCTATCAACTAATCCACACTTCAGCCATTTTTTGCAAGGTTCTCCTTCTTAATCATCACTGAACTAACACTCATTGTCACAGAATTCTCGTCAAACTGTCTTCGAAATCAAGGTTTACTGCCCTAATTCTTTTTGTTGGAGTCATAACAAGAGATTCAGAATGCTCTGAACCTGAACCTTGAATAGCAAGTGACACCTGCAAAATTTTACATCTCCTACATTTAAGAAAAAACGGAGAGAGAAAAACTTATTATATAAAATATGAAACATAGTTATTTACATAAACAAACCTCTGGTGCATCTGATTGAGTACCTCAAGCAAGGTTGATTCAATAATTTCATAGCATGATTATCAAACACCAGCAACTTAGTATCACCTGTGTTATCAAGCACCACCAAATGCAATTTGTACCTAGATGAAAATAGAGATTCCGTTAGTCTATGTCAAGTACATAACATGCAAAAATTATAAATCTCACATTTGAATACTTAGATACCTTGGCAGAGTAACATGATTATATGTCTTGCACTTAACACAATAATATGTGTTGTTACACCATTCAGTGTGTATGGAACATTGGTATGAGAAAAATATATATTTCTCACATGTAAATGAAATTTACAATCGCTTCAACCTCTCTGTAATAGGCATGTAAAACATTCTTTGTTTGGGCCGCTTTTTCCCTTTTCCACGGTACTGGTGATATCTGTCTTTCCCGCAAAATCGACACGCTACCAAATCTTTATCTTCCTTCCAAAATAACATGCAGTTATCTTCATATATATCAATCTTCACAACCGGAAGACCAAGCTCCTTTGTCAACTTCTTCATCTCATAATAGGATTTAGGAGCTTTGTTTGGTTGTGGCAGAACATCTCTAAACGTTTGTGATATTTCATCCAAACACGACTCCGGTAAGTTATGATCGGTTTTTACGTTCATTAAACGGATGCCAAGTACAACTGAGAAATACCTTCAACACATCCTTCATATAAAGGTTCACTAGCAGCTTCAAATGCTTGAAACACACCATCTGCATATTGCTCTTCGTTGGGTGCTTCCATCACATCCTCCAATACTCCTTCCACAACATTCGGATAATTTTTCTTGGTATGGTTCTTCTTCCGTATGCAGTGTGCCTTCTCCCATAAATTGACCTCCTGTCGATGATTCGCCAACGTCATAGTAACTTTATCCATGGCTTGACCATAAATAATAATTACTTTTGAACCCGACCCGGTAGAGATGGCGAGAAACGGTTCTCGAGTCACGTTGTTTTGGGTTTTGACATCTTGCACAAGGACATAACATGGTTTTCCCCTCGATAAAAGAAGTTTGATTGGAAACAAACGCGATAAAAACATCAACACCTTCCTTAAACTCACGAGAAACACATTTATTGATCGGATCAAAGTGTTGATCCATCCACTCTCTTGAATAAAAATAATCAGCCATTGGATTCACAAATTCAACCCCAACTATCTTAAATTTTTCCTCAACTCATATGAATGAAAGCGTTTTATGTTTGATATCTCACTCGTTGATATGAGAGTAAGTGAAGTGCTCGGTTTCTTTTATATAAAATACCTTGCTACGAAATCTGCCACGAAATGCTACGAAAAAAGCTACGAAATGTGCTACGAAAATTATTCGTAGCAAGGTCAAAATATCTTGAATTATTTGGTATACACATTGTCGGACTGAGGGGAAGTTGCATTAAAAATAAACCACGATCTTTGCTACGAAAAGGTCTCGTGGCTTATTTCGTTTTGTATTTTTTCACCGACACTTTTTTTTCAAAGTGGGTTGCTACGAAATTGATACGTTTTTTGGTCGTGGCAAGTTGCTACGATTCGTTTGGTAGCAAAATCGTAGCAAGTGCTAGCAACGATTTGATTTCGTAGCACGATCGTAGCAAATATGCTACGAATTTGTTACGATTTGCTACGTTTTCATTTCCGTAGCTAAACGTAGCAAAATCGTAGCTTTTTGCTTTTTAGCTACGATATTACCGTAGCAACTTCGTTCGTTGCTATTTCAGTTTTTTTTATTAGTGGTAATGTCTTCATTTTTGTTTTTAGCTATTTTCCTTCTTTCTTTTTAATATATTTTTCAACTAATTTGATGTGGAAATTTTATTGGTAAATTAGAGAATTCACTACAGGGATTGAAACGCAAGTTTTGTTCTTATTAATCAATAGTTTCAAAATAAAATAATAATTACAGTAAGCCGTATAAAATATAAATAATTAAAGACGAAAGTAGAAAGAAGACGGTGTAAGTTTATGTGTTAGAAGAACGATACATCAATCGAGTTGACGCTGCTTCTCTTCCTCAACTTGGACAAGCAACGTCAAGAGAGCTTCACACACTTGAGCAGCATCAGCTTCCAAAGGAGCCTCGTTCAAGGAAGAGTAAACCATCCATGCATGGTCTAGTTTACGTTTCGGTCTAACCACCACTGAACCAGGAACCTCTGCGTCGCAGCAAGTCACCAGCCCGTCACTCGTCTCCCCGTATCTGACTTGAATCAGCTGTGCGCAAGCAGCCATCGCAGCACCAAGTGGCATCACCACGGGAAGTTTCGTGAGAGGAAGCTCAGCCTGTGCCACGTGTGAAAAAGTGGCTAGAACCGCTGGACTAATGCTAGCTTCTGTAAGGAATGAGACCGTGGAGAGTTCTTGAGGAAGCGGATGGTTCTTTAGGAATTGTTTTCTCCTCTCGTAAGTTAAATCTTCCAAAGCTTGTATGTCACCCTTCACAAGATTGAAATGAATGCATCAGAAAGATCAAGGATTTTTTTGCAAGCTATTAGAAGATCTCAAGGGTTAGGGTTTGCTCGTTCGCCTAAATATATCTTTAGAACTATTAGTAAAGTTATTAGAAAAGTTAGCATTTGTGTATAAATTAGATTTTCTTATTCGTGCAAGGAACTTATTAAACAAGTTATGCACTTCCCATAGATAAGTTTACGAGGCTGATGAATAAATTGAGAAAAAAACTATTATATTACCAAAATTTCCTCTAAATCTATCACAAACCTTTATGACTTTGAAGATCATAATCTCCATGATTTTTCTCAAGTTGACATAACCACCAAGTTGTCCCTCACGGAGTATATCAGTAGCTATTGGACTTCCACCATATGGACTCTGTGCTAATACCAACCCAGCGACTTTATCCTTTAAGTCAGGCCAGTATAGTGATAAAGCAGCTGCTGCATCTATACCTCCTTTGCTATGCCCAAGTAGTAGAACCTTTTTATTTGATCCCCAACATAGTTCCTCTATGTATTCCTTTATCTCTCTCGCATTTTTCTCAACCGAAGACTGATATAAACATTTTTTTTCCATTTATCAGTATGTTACATTGTCGCCGGCCTTAAGACTTAGGGGCTAAACACAATTTAATATAAGTTTTGATAAAAAAATATATATAATTTTTGTGGAATTATATTTAGGTAAATTATTTTTAAAATTTTGGGGCCATAGATGGATGTTTCACTTGATTATACTCATGACCGGTCATGGTACTTACATACACCATCGGTGACTTTATTAAGTTTAAGTTAGAAATGATTACCATGTCAAAAAAAAAAGTTAGAAATGATTACCTCGCTGTGAATCTTTGCAATATGACAAGCTAACCCCATCTTTGAGAATTTAGTTTTGGTATCCACAAAATAAAGAGGTCCATGATTGCTGAAAAGACCTGGAACCAACAAGTACAGTACGGTATTTGGAAGCCTGTGTACACCATGCCTGGAAATGAAAACATCATCAACGCAGCAATTCAGTTAAAACATGATATATGTTAAACAGGATGTTACAAAGACTAAAGTATATAAGGCATGTAACTATACAGTCAAATATATACCCTATGTCTTCTAGGATTTTATTGAACCTATCAGTTCCATCTTCAGCAGGAGGCATCTCCGGGTCATGTTGTAACCATCCTATGTCATCTGCTGAGCCACGGACAGTCCTTAGTGCCCGCTCAATAAACCTGGTAAAATAAGGAGTAATATTTCAATCACCCAAATGCTGAAAATTTGACAAGAAGAAGCAGTCTATAGAGATTATTGTAATGCTTCAGTTTCACATTCTCATTAGTCTCACTGATAACAAAGAATGCATACCCATGGAACATGGAAATGCCACTTAAACCTAACCAATTCGATGTCACCATTGCATTTGATGCCTGTGAGGGAGTCTCTGTAGATTCTGCTGATGGGCTGTTGGCTGCAGAAGTAGGTGACTCTGAAGAAGTTGAACACCTTGCACCAGGAGAAACGCATACGCTTACTGGGGAACTCCCATCACCTCCTGATGTTGATCGTAGCAATTCATGGGGGTGGGAAAGAGATTTACAAGAATCTTTACCACCATATTCTACTGACGAAATCAATGATAAAAATAGAGAAAGCCTGAGTTATACAGTGTGACTTAAAAGCCATAGAATATGTTGTCGGCCAATTTTATTTCCCATTCTGAAAGCATAGCAGATGGATGTTTTAAAAGGTATGCTGAGTACCTGAATGGTTAGAAAAATAGCTCCCTAAGTAAGACGTTGCTTGGTTTATATAAGAAGCATCTTCCTTAGGAGCTGGTAAAGAATTAAATTGTTGTGGTGGTGCAGCCACATTGTTCACAGTTCTACCGCCCTGTACTCAAACAAAAGAAACTAATGCTTGTTACTAAGAAAGTCTCATCATGCGTAGACAACCAACCAATTACTAATCACCTCTTATACAACCTAGCTGAATCAATAGATGTAATTTAGATGTTTCTACTGACATAGAAAATAACGTTATGTCGACACCAAAGGAATCCAAGATAAGATGAGCGTTAAGCAAATTATGTCGAGAAAAGGAAGCCCTTATGATACTTACAAGTAAAGGGGTGATAGATTCTCCTTCTGTGGATTGACCAGCTTCTCCCATTCTTATCAATCTCTAACAATATACACAACACACATAATCAGACACAATGTTCTAGGAATCGCTAAACGGCAGTTAGATATTTTATAGTTGATTAATATGGTTTAGGCGGCTGTCCACACGATTTATTTAACGGCCAAATTTTAAAAATCCTATTTAGATCCGATTTACCGATTATAGTCTGCTTAGACCAAATTTTAGAACACTGATCAGACAAAAGAAACCTATGAGTTTTACATACCACATGTCACTTGTCTGAAAAAAACTGACAGATAATAAGCAAGTTTTCCATGCGCGAAAGCCTAAATTCTTCAACGATGACAAATAATCAACAATGTTTATGGATTACGGGATCCAACATAACAATTCAAACAAACGAAAAAACGCCGTAGAGTTTGCGAAGAACTGATTCAAAGAAGAGAATCAAGTAAAGATATATTCAGGAAGAATGAAGAGAGGTACCTGGACTTTTAGGAGTGTTGGATCGATACGAAACATACGCACGCACAAGAGCTGTCGCCTTCAATGGCTTGGAATCATTTCTTAACCTGCGGAGAAAAGAAACCGGCAGGGCACAAACAATTTAACGAGCGTGGAACAAGACGCACTCGACACGCAACACGTGTACGAAGCCAATGAGATTAGGCGCTGGATATTTAATTAGTAAAATAGGTTACTATAATGGGCCATTTATGGGCCCAATTATTTTCCTTACAGCAACAGAAAGATACACACCGTATTGTGTTCTAGTATATTTCACTGCTGGAACATTTAGCACAAAGTAGAACACCAAGTGGAGATTTTAGCTTAGATTACTACTCAATATTATTTGTTTTTTATCGCTGGATTTTATTTTATTAACTTATTTAGGCAAAGAATTCTTAACAATGAAAACTATCAAAACAAACATAGAAAACGGAGACACTAGTAGGGATCCAACGTAAATTAACACATCTTTGCGTATGGATAACTAAATATTTTCATGTAAAAGCTCCAAATTTGCTTTTAGAATAGTTGAATCCCAAAAGAGATAATCTTCGTCTTAATCCAGAAATACCATGCTTCAAACTTAGTTTAGAACGATTATTACTCTCTTTTTATTACTCCAGTAGGAGCTAATGAGAAGACAACTCTTTATACTGCTCTGATAATAATAGAGTCAAAGAGATACCGTTTCATAGAATTTTCTGTTGACTTTCGAAGTAACCATAGTTTGCAGCATGAACTCCATCACCATCAACTGAAGAATCATCAACGATTGAAGCCGGTAAGACCCGTCGCCACCATCCGCAGTAGATCTGTCAATTACCTTTTCTAAACGCTTCAATTGAACCGAAGTTTTTGTTTTTCCAAATCCATTAGAAAAATCATACAAAGAAACAATCCAAAACTTTGCCAGATTCAAAATAAATTGGCAAACAAACAAATCAAATAACCAGAAAGAAAGCAAACTAAAGAGATAAAAGCAAAACATATTAAACAAGCCGTCAAGTAAATCCATAAATAAAAAAAAATTTAGAAAGAGGTGCGAGAAACGCTCCCAGACCCGCTTCCCAATACATCTTCTCCGTTTGGCCTCCTTTCATAATTTCAAAATTTGAAACTCTCGATCTCCTGCTCTAATACCTCTCCCCCTTTGTGCTAATCAAAACATGGGTTTAAAGCACTTTTCCTCTTAACATCTGGGTATTTTTGTTAAATTTTTTGAAATTTTACTAAGGTCTCAACTTTGCTCTGACGAGCCTCAGTCCCTTCTCTGCTTTGAAGAATCACGCACTACTTAGGCGTTCTGTCAACTTAATCCGGCGTTTGACGTAGTTTATTGAAGATTTGAATTTCATTTTAAGATTGTACCTGTTCACCAACACCTCCTCATTTGCGGTAGATCTTGAAGAACCGGTGACGAGCGTAGGATTGGTGTCAACAAACACTTATTTCTGGTTCATTGCACTAGTTTTTAACTGGGGTTAATGTCCAGTATATATAGCAGCGCTTGAAAAGATTTGAAGAAACAACACTGATTTTACTTCGACAAACTCTTCCCGATTTGTTGAATGACGAAATAAAAATCGCCAAGACTTTCAACATATCAATAATCAGTGGTTTTGGCTCATTACATTAGTTTTTAACTGATGTTAGTGTGTACAATATACCTATATATTTTTAGGAATTATTAATTTTCTAAAAATGAATGTGGTGGCATGGAATTGTCAGGTGTAGGAGCCGAGTTGACGAAGGAACATCTTGATGAATTATATTACTGTTTTCGACCAAAATTTTTATTCTTATCAGAAACAAAAAACAGTCGTCATATTCTGCAAAACTTACAAGTTTCATATGGATATGATCAAGTTTATACCGTTGAGCCGCGTGGACGAAGCGGTGGTCTAGCACTTTTGTATATGGATGATCCTTCGGTTACCATTTTGTATGCGGATACACACATGATTGATATTGAAACTCGACTTGAAGGACATGCAATTTATATGACGTTTGTGTACGGTGATCCTGTTGTTAGATATCGAGACCAAGTTTGGGAACGATTGTCACGCATGAGTACAACACGTAGTAAAGCATGGTTTATGGTTGGAGATTTTAATGAAATCACAGGAAACCATGAAAAGAGGGGAGGAAGACGTCGTTTAGAGAGCTATTTTCTCCCTTTCCGAACCATGTTAGAAAATTGTGGAATGCTGTACTTCCCATACAAAGGGAACTCATTCTCGTGGGTGGGAAAAAGATGATCCGGAAAAGTTAAATGTAAACTTGATAGAGCAGTGGCAAATGAAGAATGGCATGCTTTATTTGCCCATTCAGTTGTAGAATTCCTACAATTATGGGGATCAGACCACAGACCAGTCCTAGCACGGATTCAATCTTGTATTATGAGGACAAGAAAGAATTTCAGATTCGATAAAAGATGGATCGGTAAACCGGGGTTCAAGGAAGCGGTAATCTCGGGATAGGGACAATTTGATGAAATTCCAATGAGGAATTTTCATCAAAAAGTTACCTCGTGTCGTAATAAAATTAGTTCATGGAAGAAGCAAAACCCAACAAATTCCGCTACACTAATTAAATAATTAAAAGATAAGATCGACTTGGCACAAGAGGACGATAATTCTACGACAGATGAGCTAGAGGATTTACGAAGACAGTTAATTCTGGCCTTTAAAGAAGAAAATACTTTTTGGGAACAAAAAAGTAGGAACCAGTGGCATAAATATGGAGACAGGAACACAAAATTCCACCATGCCACCACAAAATAACGAAGAGCCCAGAATCGAATCACAAGTATTAAAGATAAGCATGGAAAGTTGGTAGAGAGTGAAATCGAGATAGAGAACGTGGCTGTTCAATATTTTTGTGATCTCTTCTCTACTTCTTTGCCAACAGAGATAGATAGTTCCCTCCGTTTTATTTCAGAAAAGGTGTCTCAATCCGACAATAGGTTACTCTTAGAGAAACCGTCGGAACATGAAATTAGGAAAACTCTTTTTGAGATTAACCCGGACAAAGCACCAGGACCGGATGGCATGACTAGTAAATTATTTCAGAGATTCTGGCAGGAGATGCGCCAAGACATTATCAGATTTGTACAAGATTTCTTCGAGACAGGCTTTCTTGACCCCCTGTTGAACCAGACAAATATTTGGCTCATCCCTAAGAAGAAGAAACCCCGGGACATGACCGAGTTCAGACCCATTAGTCTTTGCAATGTTAGCTATAAGATTATATCTAAGCTATTATGCAAGAGACTAAAGAGGGTTATACCACGCTTGATCTCAGAGACACAATCAGCTTTTGTGGAAAAACGTTTGATTACTGATAACATTCTGATAGCACAAGAGAATTTCCATGCACTACGGACGAATAACAGATGTAGGGAAGATTTTATGGCTATTAAAACAGACATGAGTAAAGCTTACGATAGAGTGGAATGGAGTTTCATAGCAGCTTTGATGCTGAAGATGGGATTTGATAAAAGACTGGTTGACCTCATTATGTGTTGTGTCACGTCTGTCTCATATCAAGTCCTTGTCAATGGGCAACCGAGAGGGCGAATTTTACCAAAGAGGGGGCTGAGGCAGGGAGACCCCCTCTCTCCCTTTTTGTTCATTTTGTGCACGGAAGCTTTGATATCACTCCTTAACGGAGCAGAAGCAGAGAAGAAGATTGTGGGTCTTCGTGTTGCCCAGGCGAGCCCAAGGATCTCCCATCTCCTCTTTGCTGATGATAGCCTTTTCTTTTGCGAGGCGAAAGTAAGCCAGTGCAAGGAGATATGGATATTATAGACATCTATGGGAAAGCATCTTGACAAAAACTAAATGCGACGAAATCTTCGATGTTCTTTGGAAACAGAGTGGACTACCCTCGAAAACAAGAGATAAAAGAAGTATTGGGTTTTTCTACTGAAGGAGGCATGGGAATGTACCTTGGATTACCCGAACAAATTTCTGGCTCGAAAACCAAAGTATTCTCCTACGTACAAGATCGGCTTAATGGGCGAGTAAATAATTGGTCATCGAGACTACTCTCGAAAGGAGGAAAAGAAGTTCAGATTAAAGCGGTGGGTCAAGCAGTTCCGACATACCCAATGTCGTGTTACTTGATTCCACAAGGCATTACTGATAAACTAAGGAGTACGACTTCTAATTTTTGGTGGAGTTCAAAATAAAACAGCAGAGGTTTGCATTGGATAGCATGGGACGAGATCTGTACTCCCAAGGATTCGGGGGGACTAGGTTTTCGAGATCTCCATGACTTCAATTTAGCACTTCTTGCAAAACAATTATGGCGTTTGATCCAGTATCCGAGTTCCTTACTGGCACGTACCCTGAAAGGAAGATATTACAACAATACTTCTCCCTTGGAAGATCGACGAACATACTCACCCTCATATGGTTGGCGCAGTATCATGGCATCAAGACCTTTACTCATGTCGGGGTTACGGAGAACGATTGGAACGGGCCGCAATACAAGGTTTTGGAGCGAGCCTTGGG